TCTTTCGCCCCAGTGTGTCCGCTCGGACAAATAGCATGCACATAACTCAGAAGAGAGCTCGCGGTCCGATGGATTTCAGTTGTAATAAAGGGAATTTGTGAACAAATAATAGCGAGGTAGAGGAGGAAGAGAGCCATATGTTTATAATGGATTTATGTGGAGCTTTTTCGTTCACCTCGGCTACGTCTACAGCAGAACTGTGGGAAACAGCTGACGTCAAAGTCGCATCAATTCCGACCTTAGTATCCAGACTCGCATTTAAAAAGATCCGATCTGTATCGGATTTGGACCACATATGGAAGTGGCGGATTCCGAATTGGAGGTCAATTTGGCAGAAAGTCTTGTGTGTTATCCACTGCGCCACAACCATCCTAGTATCTTCTGTTTACTGTAGAAATTCACAATGTAATACCTGGTTACTGGTTAATACATGGTTTGCTGATATCTGCCAATACACATGCCAATATGTGAATTTTTTTCCACTTTAAGCACTGAATATAGTCTGTACAATACATCAGGTCTGCATATGTCCATCCCACCTCTGACAATAATGGATTAAGAAGGTGTTTCAGTGGATTTAGTGAATTATTTTTTCTGCACAGATTTCCTTGTGTACACTCTGCTCATTCATCTGGGCTGTTTCTGTTTTCTTCTCCAGTTCCTGATAAGCAGATGTATCTACAAACAAAGAGAGAGGCTCTCTTTGTGTCTCTCCCTCTCTTCCTAATTCCTCCTCTGCAATCCTGTAGATGTCAGTTCTGCCTCTCTCTCTGTCACTCTTTCACTCTTTCATTCCTTTGTCTGTGTTCTTCACGTCTCTTCAATCCAGCCGTAATGAGTAAAGGTCAGTGTCTGCTCTCACCTGTTGTGCTGTCAGTGTTCATGTCCGTTACTGAGGTACTTATTAGCTCTGGCCTTTAGCTGCTGCCCTAACAAGCAGGCAGCACAACACTGAAACAGCTGTTGGGGGGGAAAAGCACAGAAGCAATAGGAAAGAAGATGAACTTAGGCACAGCTAATTCCACCAAAAGGATACCACTATTTCCTATCCCTAGATAATAAACAAACATCAAACAATAAACAAAATCTCAAATCATGTTGGATTTTGAATGTATTTGTTGTTGTTGACGATACATTGTCATTTTTGCTGAACCCACAAGATTTTAGGTAGACAATAGTCTGTTGCCGTTTACTGAAATAAATCATGTCAGTATAAAAGTCACAATCACATGAAATACGACTTCACAATTTTCAAAGTGACAAGATGTGATGCAGTTTGGTCAAAACACTTTCATTTCCCAAAGAAAAGTTAGAGTATTGAAGCCTAGTATGCCTTGTGAAATTACCCAAAATTATCTAATTATGATATATAATAATATATATAATATAGTGACTTGTGCTTATATGCATACATTTTAGTACATTTGGAAGTGCATAATTCACATAAATATTATGGTCTGATGAGTTTGTAACAAGACTAAATCTCCATAGCCAGACTTGGCTGATGCTGAAGTCAGGCACATACTGTATTTTTTTTCATGAGGGTGGTGCCAGAGGAAAAATGTTCTGTTCCTTGTATGATGGCTGTTTTGGGACATTTCAGACTCCGCATGTCAGGTACACTAAAGCTCTTTTGTCCACTGAGCTGAATGCCAATGTTAGACTGTTAATATGTTAGAATTCATCTTAGCATTTTAGCTTGCTTCTGAGTCTGTGTCAAATTTCATGGCAAATTCATCAAATAAAGCATTTTCAAAGCACAATGTAATTAACAAAATTTAACGGGTGCATTATGTTAGGGTCTACTAAACCTCTTTTCATTATAGACTAATCTGCAAATTGTTTGTTTATTGGATTCATTTATTAATTGTTTAGTCAATAAAATGTAAAAGAAATGGTGACAGTTCCTCAAAACCCACTGATATTTTCAGTTTTGTCCAACCAACAATACAAACCTAAAGAAATTCAATTGACCATCATATATAACAAAGAAAAGCCTTATCCTTATATTTGAGAAGCTGAAACCAGAGAATATTTATAATTTTTACTTAAATGACTGAAATGGTGGATACTGAGACACATAACACTAATTGTTGTTGACACTAAATTGTTAATGTTGGATACTATACACCTGTGCTTTCCTGCCACAACAAGTCAAAATGTTTGCAGTGAAAAAGGTCTGTAGGCGTTGAGATGTTTCACTTTATTTCATAGTAATATTACAACACCACTTCCATTGGTAAAAAAAAAAAAAAAAACACCTGTCCAGCGCTATTTAGAACAATCCTAGTGGGGTTCATGTGGGTTGTATTACTACAATAATCATTCGCTATTTAAGTAGCCCAATAATAGATGAGATGAGGGAAAGTGTCCACTTCAGGCTGTGTGTCTGAAGTGTCGTGGTATTGATTTGTATTGGCCTCGTGTCAGCATGACATCACCTTTGCAACACAATCTCAAGTGCTCTTGAGGCTGGCTGTTTTATCATGCGTGTGTGTGTGTGTGTGTGTGTGTGTGTGCACTCTGTGCTCTGTAGGGGAGAAATCTCTCCATCTGCTGTATAGGCGCCATGGATTCGCTTTGTCCTGACTCAGCACTTTTTATTAAACACGCGCGCTCACACACACACACACACACACACACACACACACCCTTCTCAGTATTCAAAGTGTCGTTATCTTGTTGCAGCCTTTTCCATCACCTCCAATGTTTCTTCATAATCAGGTTCTGCCATAGCTCACTCTCTCTTTCTACCTCTCTCACCCATTCTCTCTCACACACACACTCCTTTGAGTAAGGGATGCCAGCAGCATACAAAACAGAAATTAAATTGCAGCTGGGTGAATTTTGGCAAGATCTCCGCAAAGGTTAGCTACTCTTTTAAGGCACAACTCTTGCTCTTTGTCTCCATTTCTTCCTCTGCTGTTTTTATTCTTCTTGCATGACACAAAGCACACAGCTTTCTTTTCTTTCGCCTTCTGACCCTCTGACTTTCTGCAACAAGTTCAATATGAAACATAAATAAAAACATGTCCTACAAATGCGTTGTGTGGTATGTTGCGGCATAGAGTTCAGACTGTGTAAAGTCATGAGGTTTCCTTGTTTGTTTCCTATTTGAAACTGGACTTCTCAATGAGGTTAATTCAGAACCGAGACCTTTCTTTTTTCAAATCAAGCCATTTTGTTACTTGCCAGGCTTTTTGCTGAGCCATCAGTTTTAAATACCATGCACATTTATTTTACTCCTAAAAAAGGATGACTTTGCCAAAAGAGTAAATCAAAAATTTGAACTTAGGTACACAGACAAAATGTATAACTGGAGCTCATTGTAATTTAAAAAAAATCCCAAAATGTATCTGTTTATTTTGAACGTTTAAAGGTGAGTGAAAAGACAAAATATCAGGGTGGAATTCAGATTACATTTTTAAAAATTCTTTTTGCTGCATAAACACAAATTTACCCCCTCTTCTCCTTTTTCACAAACCACACAGTACTCCCTTCTTTACCTCCACACATTTAATGGACTGATGTTGTATAATGAGCATGTCATTTGTGCTTTCTCCCAGTTTTTCTTTTCACTTTATTTTAACAGACATATCAATTTCAAATTCTGTTTCCAAGGGGAGCAAATGTATTTTGTAGGTGTACTTTTTATAGAAAGAGCTGTGTATCTGCTGATGTAGCTTAAAAGTGGAGTTTTTTTTATACATACTGTATAACTGAAACATAGCAGTTACCTGCTTGGTCTCATATTAGTGGATATCACATTGAACAATGTCTGTATATTAATATTATTAATGCATTTTAAAGCCAGGGTAGGTAAGGTTGGAGGAACTACTAAGACAGCTACATTTTGAAAGTATTCAACTGAAAAGAAATCTGTGCAGTGAGTGCATTTGATTTATTGATTGCTGTTGGGATGTAAATAGAATTTCAACAAATGGAACAAAAAATGCTTTTTAAACAAATTGCAATGCTATAAAATGACACTATACCAATGAAAATCTGATTATTTTTACCCTGGCACATTTTTCCACAAGAGTTTGCTTACATCCTACGGGTTTTAGATTACAATATGAACACAGTTTGAGTTAATCTCATACATCCCTGGATGTCCCCTTCCAGCTGCTGCAGCAGCTGTCGTCAGGACAGAAAGGGAGCATGTTACTCTGAAAAACATAGGAGGGATGTCAGCTCTGCAAATCACTGTCGAAAGCTTCAGCCCAGTGATATCAGCATGTAAATGTGAATTAGCAAGCTATTAAATGATTTATCCGCACATTCCACTCATCCTCAGTGTTGTCACCTTGGTAGCCCCATAAAAACCAGACCAGATCCACGAAATGGCAGGACACATCTTGACACTTGTTCAGTTGTGGACAGTCATCAAATTGCTTCAGTCTAATCAATTTCCAATAGTTTGTGACTCAAATATATCCTACTTTATATATTTGATTATAAGGGAAATTGGATAAAGTATGTTTATACCGTATTTTGCAACATTTCAACTCAAAAGCAGGATTTTCTCTGAATGGGCTGACTACTAATAACTTTAGAGACAGAGCATTAGCTCTACCATCCCAGTACTTTAACCTAACTCTTTGGCATTCCTGTAATATGCAAACTTCACCGCCAATATACGGACATCACTCTGACATATAAACAAGCAGTTTGCATTCATATCCAAACTGTGAACAGATTTATTATTGGCCAGCTTTAAAGTCGTAGCACGGAGCATCTTCTCTAGACTATAAATTCAGAGTTTTAAAATTTCATTTCAAGTAGATTAAAATGTAATGAATCACATTTCCATTCTACAATTTGTCTCACGATCCTCGCTCTTCTGACACCTCTGCCATCCTCTGCATCTCCCCTCTCCTCCATCATGCACACACACAGAAACACAAGCGCATACACACAGAAACACACATTATTGCATGATGTGAAAGGTGATTGTCATCATTAAAACATACTCTGTCTTGTTTCTGTCCCCTGTGCAGGAGCTGGAGGATGGTCTCCTCTTGTCTCAGACAGATACCAGTGGTTGGAGGTGGATCTGGGGAGGCGGACCCAAATCACTGTTGTTGCCACACAGGGACGCTACGGCAGCTCCGATTGGCTGACAGCTTACCTGTTGATGTTCAGCGACACAGGACACAACTGGAGACAACACCGGCAGGAAGACAGCTTAGGGGTAACTCTACTGGTATAATCAATTACCAAAACAGTATTAAAAGGGAAAACTAAATACATTTTTAAAGAACGTAACACTGCCAGCATTATCAACATAATGAGGAAATGTTGTCAATTACTGTATTTGCCAAGTCTAAAATGTTGATTGTTACCAAGGTATTTAGAAATTGAAAATTGAACAGTATGACTTTCAATACTGTCAAAAATACAGACACTCTTTCTGTTAAACTGATACGGAGATGCTGTATTGAGGTGATGTATTGTAGTGTACGTCCTCAGCGTAGGGGGCGATGCTGCATAAAACTGCCTGACATCATCTACAATGCGACAGCGCAATAACTCAATCACTTTCCAGTAGTTGGTAAACAACACACATGGGAGCTTTATCCTTTTATTTGCAGACAAACTGTAACCTACACTGTACATTTACTGCTGAACGTCATTGCTCGCCATTTCCTCTTCTCCACTAAACTTTTATTTTGGCAATTAGAGCACTTAGCTAAGATTTGAGAAAGAGAGTGAACTTGGTTAAATGTTGAAAAAGTCAGTAAATAAACTGCTTGTTGGATAGTGAAACAGCATCTGAAACCGCCTTCCCACTACACCACTCTGACTCCAGAAATGGGGCTTTTCATTCCGCATTTGAGTATGGTGGTTCAGAACAGCTATAAATAGTTTTGACTTCTGATGTCAACACTTTGTACAAACTCGATTTTTCATGTATGTCCTTTAGAGAAATCAAATAATTAATTTCACTGTGGTATGAAAATCAACTTGCAGAGATTTAAAGAAGTTGTTTTAAATTTTGTTGCCTTTTTAATGTTTTTTTATCTTGGCTGTTGGCGCATCCTTCACTGTCGCACCAAGGAAAGTTTCAAAAATGTTTCTGTGGTGATGAAGAAACTTTGACAAAAAAAACAAAATAGACAAAAATGACCCTGAAATATCTGCTGAGTTGGATTACCTATCAAACTATTTCAAGTCTGCACAAAGCAATTTGGTTTAGGACCGAACTCAATTAAAACTAATAGCTGTCTGAAAAAGTTATGTATTTTAACAGCTATGAAGACAGCTTGGGAGGGAATGCAACTCAGAACTCAGGTTCATTGAAGTTAAAATGCATTTGGCCTTGCTGTCGTTGACATAATTTACATTTCTGTGGGGACTGGTACTGCCTGCAGCATCAAGTCTGCTCACCAGGAGCCTTTCACTCTTTATTAATAATGGATGGAACAATGAAAGAAACCTGGGCAGGGCTTTGTCGACTGCATGGAGGTGCTGTCAAACAGTTGAACCTCTGCTGACAGGAGGTGGTGCTGTTGGTTGGAAAGGCGCACAAAAAGCTGCAGCTGTGTTCAGTGTTTCCCACAGGATTTTAAGAGACTATGGTGGGTGTGCCTTGAACCCTCTCACCGGGGGGTCCGGGGCATGCCCCACATAAGAAAGTTTTGTACATTTTAATGTTAAATGCATTAATTTGGTGCAAAATTAAGAGGCTATCTATGAAGAACTTGGTACGCTTATAAACAATGTTGTGCTCTAATAAACTATTACTACAGCAACAAAAGTCAACAAATTTATTTAATGTTTTCCCAAAAACTCTGAATCAAAGAATTAGGGCTGAAACGATTCATCGATTAAATCGATAAATTCTGTTCATTCTGTTTGCAGAGAGGGGGAAGAGAGAGAAAACAGTGAGGGACAAAAAGAAAGTGTCCAAAGTATGGGGTTATTTCAAGCTAAAGAAAACAACAACTCTGTAATGTTACCGTCGTCCACCGTGAAACGAAACTTTTGTCACCTCGGTAACAGCACGAAGCCTTATCAGAAAGCAGCCGGTGTTCTGCCAGCGGACCACAGACAAGCTAACAGTAACAGCAACTTTAGCATTCAACTGAAATCATGATTGATTGTTGAGTTGAAGGCTAGCCAAAGTAAACTGCAGTCCTCAGCTGATAATGTGCACACGTGCGTTTGTTGTTCTCCTTTTTGGGCCGTGAGTTGTAACCTCATAGTCAAGAGTTAACTGTGTGCCGGGGAGCTGCACCTTTTAACTCCCCTGCAGCTCTGTCTGTAGCTCAGACAATCCCTGCTACCTGTGTGTACTAATCCATCCTTTCAACCATGTTCTTTGTCTTTATAATTGCCATCTTTATAATAACAAACAGCTGTTTCGTGTGCTGGATTGCTCATTTCCCGTTTCACATTTCACGTGTGTTTTCTTGATAAAAGTGGTTTGGAAACCAGCGTTGGGTGCCATAGGTGTTGTCTGCTCCTGTAGTGTGTGTGACCCCCTGTCACCGATCAGTCAAGTAGTGTTTCGCCGCCAGGCAAAAGTACTTCTTAAACGATGCATCGATGAATCGTTGAAATAATCTATAGAAGCTTCAAATACTAAAATCATCATTAGCTGCAGCCCTACAAAGAATAGAAGACATAATAAGTCATTTCCCTAACATTTTATTGTTGTTTTTTTACTTTTATTGGACACATTTTTTATATTTTCTGTGAATATAATCCAATTAATCTTATTTCCATGCTGTATAGACACCTTATTTTGAAACCCGGGCGTTGTGTGTATCCTCACGCTAAATTCATTAAGTCCAACCAGAGTCTGAACTTGATAAATAATGTTGTATGTGGTTCTTGTATCGTGTAAAATGAGGTAGGGCTCTAAAGCCTGGTTCACACTACACGATTTTTAGTCCGATTTGCCGCTCGGCGACCGTCAGGCTGTGATCGGGGGTAAATCAGCGGTCGATCGGCGGCAGCCAGTCGTTATGTGTGAACTACACAACGACTCATCAAAACGGCTCCCCGACACATTTCTGACACAACGTCTGCCAGATATCTAGCATGCCAAATATCTGGAAGAGTTGGCCGACTCAACATCCACATCCAGCCAATGAGAGCAGGCAGCTTGCAGAGCAGACAGGTACTTTTCACCGCAAAACACTTTTTACTCACCTCCAGCTCTCTGTAGCTCAGGCAATCCCTGCTACCTGCATGTGCTAATCCATTCTTTCACCCAGATTCTGTCTTTATAATTGGTATCTTTATAATAACAAACAACGTCTAAGTTTGCATCATTTGTCATCTGTTTCACATTTCACATGTGTTTTCTTGACAAAACGTGGTTTGGAGACCAGCGTCGGGTGACACAGCCGCTGTAAGCTCGTGTAGTGTGTCACCGATGAGTCACGTAGTGAACGCCATAACGACATCAAGACCCCCGTCACAAGATGGCAAGTTGAAAATTGTGTAGTCTGCACAAGGCTTAAAACTGCAACACTTGTCTTTGTAAAGAGAGAAACTGACAGGATAAAATCGCTAACCTCAGCTCGCACTGGTCCGTTACAGTGGATTTACCATTAAGGCTTTAATACGTATGCACTCCAAATGTAGGCGCGGCTAGCTTAATCGCCTTCTCACAAATGAGTGAAACAGGCCGTTAATGTTACCGTAGTTACTCCAAAAGAAAAGTGTTTTTCTCGAGTCGGAGGCCAAAGTGTCTGAGCGTGCGAGCTTAAAATAATTTTTCGGTTCATTCTGAAACTATGGCGGAGCAAATTAGACTAAGGCGGGCCGCCACGCAAGTTGCTGATGGAACACTTGGCAGCTCAGTTGTTGGGAGCCAGTCTTGATAAGAGTGTCCGCTCAGTGCCTACAATGTAAATGTGAATGAGAAATCTGACTGAGACTTGCATGTGGCGACTAAATATTATGCAGTGCAGCTCATGTGGACCCTGGCAATACTTCCTCCACTCTAGTGCTGAACACCGGAGCCCCCTCCTCTTCACGCTGTACACCCATAATTGCAACCCCCGACATGGAGAGAACTCTATTGTGAAGTTTGCAGACAACACCGCCATCAATGGCTGGATTTCAAACAATGATGAGACTTCATGTTGGGAGGAAGTCAACAATCTTGCAGAGGGGTGCACAGAGAAAAACCTACTGCTCAATGTCAGCAAAACCAAGGAGCTGATTGTTGTTGTTAAAATGGATGAAAGGACACATGCTCCTGTCTCAGTGGAGCAGAGGTGCAGCAGGTGAATAGTTTTAGGTTCCTGAGAATCAGCATCACAGAGAACCTGATATGGTCATCTCATGTCTCCACGCTGAGAAAGAAAAGAAAATCTCAGAAATGGCTGTACTTCTAAAAGGAATCTTAAGAAGGCAAAAGTGCCAAGTTCTGGGGGGAAATTCATGGCTGAGGCACTTTGCTCTGTTTTCTTTTTGTATTGTGGTTGCTTTCTATCTGCACATGTTCTCCAGTGTTTCTTTTTCTTTCTCAAAATCATTATTTTCCATCTTTTTATAGAATGTTTTTAAGCTATAGTGCCCATTCCATGTTTCAGTAAAGAGAGAAACTACTAGACTGCAGAATGACTGATCACCACCAAGCAAAACTACTGGATGTCAGAATGACAGGAAGCCATGCAGCCCTCCATTGATTGAAGAACATCAGATATGATTCAGAGGCAGTCAGGCATCTCCTCTCTCCTTTATGGAAGACAGTACACCCGTCTTGTTACAGTAGCAGCCCGGAGAACAGCTTTTGATTCTGATTTGACAGCAAACTCTCTGAAGCCTGGGTGTCATCCCTTGAAAGAGAGGGAAACAGGGTATGGCTTCTTACAGCTTAAAACTTGTTGATTTGACACTCAGCATGAAAGGTGATAAACCCAGATCAGCTCTCAGAGTGTTTTAAAAGCTCCATATATTAGTCAGGCCAGCTTAGAGTGTCGGTTAAGGAGGAGATTTGACTGCAAAAACAGCTGTATCAGTCACTCAGCTTAGATGATCTGTCTTTCTCTCTTTGCCCTCCAGTGCTGGAAAATAAGTACATTTACTAAAGTTGTACCAAGTCATTCTGAATAATTCCACTCTATGCTACATTATTTATATATATATATATATATATATATATATATATATACAACACTCATTCATTTTGCTACACTATGTACTTTTACTTCAAGTTTAAGTATTTTGCTAGTAATACTTATCTTTGAGTAACATTTTTGATGTACTTTTACTTGTAGTGGAGTATTTCTACCGTGTTGCCATGCGGACCTATAGGCTCTGCCATACTAAGTTGCTGCTGTCGTTGCGGTTGCTCCCCCTTCAGCTCTGGCAAACCAGTCATTGCTGTTTGGCATTGTATGAACTCATTTGGCAAGGGCTTTAATGTAACAGATGTTCATTTATATGTAAAAGTCCCACACTCAAGTTTCAAGTACTGATACATTAGTATGAACACCTTACATTAGCCCCCTCCATGTAGGGTTAGTTAAAGGGTTGAAATAAAGTGTTAGGTACATTTAGCTGAAAATACTTATGCAGTCTGTGGTTCCAGCTGACCTTAGTTTGATAATTTCAACACTATTATGTTGTAACTGCTTAATCTAAAACTAAACTTGCCACTTTGTTCAGTTGCACCATCGCTACTTGCGCTATATCTTAACTAAGTTGACTGCAATCAAAACGTTGTCAATTGTTATGTAGTGCAGCAATCGAGTAAAATGGGAGAAAAGCCTCTACTAACTGTATGAATGGAAGTTAAGACCTACAAGACTGTTTGATTAAGAAGAAACTAATGCTATCATTATGCTATCACGTGTGAACTACCTAATGTATGATACAAAGCATTTGTCCATTACCACATTAATTATTATAATTTATCACTTGCTTCAGCTGTACTTTGATGTTTTTGCTAAATATGGTCATAAAAAGCAAAAATTTCAACAACAATCTCTGGAAGACCTCCATATCGGTGAAAACATTCTTCTACTTTTATCAAGTACCAAGTACTTCTTCAACCACTGTTCTCTTATTCTTTTTCATGCCTTCATTCCTCATTCTCTACCCTCCTCTCTCTCCTTGACTGTGGTCTTGTCAGAGGCTACTCATATTTCAAACATGCCTGGGCAAGTAAATGAGATGCCACTCTCCTCAGCCTCCTCAGCAGGAAACAGAGCCGTTTGTTGAGCTTAACGCTCTGCGGCCCAGCCGGCTCAGCCCTTCAAAGCACTGAATACGGCACTGAGATCACAATTATGCAGCACCAGGGAAGCCCATTTCACTCACATAGCCACATCAGCACACTCTCAGTGGACACACATACACATACGGAATGACACACAGTCTCAAGTAGAGAGGACAGACACAAGCAAGATTACATGCACTTGAACACATGCAAATGCAGCTTGTATTTTTTTTCCTAACAGATGTTAATACGGGGGCTTGCTCTGTGTGTCCTATTTGCCCATCACCCAGAGAATCCCACTGGATTCCCACTGATTGGAAAAATAGAGGCCATTAGTCTTTTTAAGAGAGGCCTGGTACAGAGACAATGGGTTAGGCCCAGAGTTATTGATCACTGGGCAGAGAGAAGGAGAGACGTTATCAGCAGTTAGGATCAATGGTCTCTGTGAGCTCCAAGTTTGAAAATGCAGAAAGAATGTCTCTGGATTAAGGAGGTTTTTCTCCACACTCCATAGAAATATAAACGAGAACTAGCGCATCTCTTTCTTTTGAAGATCCTTTTCATTACAAACGTGGTTCTATTTACATATCAATTTTTTTTTGTCAGTAGAAGATTGAAGCTTTTAGACTCTTGGATAAATAAATAAATAAAAAGGCAGCGAAAATTCAAAAGAGAATACACTGCTTTGGTAAACAGCTTGATTATGAGCATCAATGTACAAAACAAATCCTCTGTTCCTGTCTAAGGTACTCAAGGACGTAATTAGGCTGCTACAAATGGTTTGGCGTCAGATTTTGCAGCAACCAGTAGAACATGGATGGTTGGATGTAAAAATGAGGCAAACTAACATGTTGTTCTGTTGTTTCAGGCTTTTCCAGGTAACAGTAATGCAGACACTGTGGTCCAATACAAACTTAAACAGGCGGTGATTGCTCGCTACCTCCGCCTGATTCCTCTAGACTGGAACCCCACTGGGAGGATTGGACTCAGACTGGAGATATATGGATGTCGATATAGTAAGTCTGCTCTCTGTCTCAGTCTTATTTTTCAGGTTTGGCTGGTGCTAATCTTTTAAAAAAGAAAAAAGGATGCCTACTCAAATGAAAAATAAACATGAAGTTATGTATCTGGAGTTTAAATGTTCCGGTTCAGGCTTATTTACCTTATAGTCTTATTTTTGTATGCATGTGGTCAGACAGGTCCCTGTTTTCGGGCCTTTGCGGGCATTTACAGGTACACATAACAAACTTCCAAAGATCCCTGCCAAATACACCCCTTTTCACGCAGTGGAGGTAAATAAGCTTATTACATAAATTACATATACAGTATCTCACAAAACTGAGTAAATATTTGATCTTTTCATGTGACAACACTGAAGAAATGACACTTTGCTACAATGTAAAGTAGTGAGTGTGCAGCTTGTATAACAGTGTAAATTTGCTGTCTGATGTCTAAACCGCTGGCAACAAAAGTGAGTACACCCCTGATTGAAAATGTCCAAATTGGGCACAAAGTGTCAATGTTTTGTGTGGCCGCCATTATTTTCCAGCACTGCCTTAACCCTCGTTGGCATTGAGTTCACCAGAGCTTCACAGGTTGCCACTGGAGTCCTCTTCCACTCCTCCACGACAACATCACGGAGCTGGTAGATGTTAGAGACCTTGCGCTCCTCCACCTTCCGTTTGAGGATGCCCCACAGATGCTCATTAGGGTTTAGGTCTGGAGACATGCTTGCGCTGCAGTAAACACAGCTACGTTTTATTTATTATTTTATTTATGCAACGATTGGCTGGCTGCGCGCACCCGGTCAGCTCGCTCAGACCTGACGAGCGAAGCAGAGGTGATATCTGCGTGGCTTTTCAACGATAGTGACTGACAACTGAGGAACACCAAGGGGCTGAAAAGTTACACCGTGGTGGCTTTATTTCTGCTGGACAGGTAATCTGGCTTTTATCATTTTGATGGTAATTTGTTACTTTCATCTACTTAGTATTCAGCTAACTGTTGCTAATAGTGCAGGCTGGTGTAGGAGCCAGAGTAGAGACGATGAATTATATTTAGCTGTAGGTGAGCTGGAAAACAAGCTGTGTTTTCCAATGCTAATATAATGTAGGTGCAGACTGCGCCGGTTTAGTTATTCACCATCTGGGTTTATTATACTATGTTTACACCTATCTTTACACCTTATGTCTAATCTGTTTGCATAATTATCTTGTGTCTGCAGGCGTTGTTTGACTGGATGTTACTCTTTTACAAATAATATAGCTGTGTGTTTGTAGTTAAGAGAAAGACATTTTAACGTTAGTGTACATAAGCAATGATAGCTAAAGGTCCCCAAGTATCTGTGTTTCTGGTATATAAGCTACCTTTAATATAGTTGACATTGTTCGTAGCTAAACCTACTGTGTGAAAACATTTTACTGTAAATGGTGTTATGCCATGGTGTTACTCAGTACATTTAAAAGTGATGAGCCAAAAAATATTAAACATAATGAGGAATACAGATAGATGGTGCTGATTTATTGTTATTGATTGCATTTTATGTGGAAATAGTTTACTAATTACTCTATAAGAGAACAATATCAGGTGTTTCAGGTGTTTCTTTTCACTAAGCTGATCCTCCTTTCTGTATTATCCGGTACAGCAAGGTATACAACAAAAAGTCCAGAAAGTGGAGCTTGTACTCATTGAAGGTGGAGAAGGACTACAGTTACATCGCAGACCTCCAGAGTGCCATCCTCCTGCTCCTCCGGTTGTCTACTACTGAGGAGATGCCTAGAAGCAGAACCAGACAGGTGTCCCTGCCCCAACTGTGTTGCTAGTTACAGCAAAATATAAAACAAAATGTATTATGGTTGGTTTTGAAATGTGGTAATCATGTCAGAGAGGTGACTGTGATATATTTAATCATCTCCACAGCAGCGATACGATGCTATGAGTAAAGTCTGAACTGTCTTCATAATCAGTCAAGATACATCTGGACACACCTTGTCTCTTCCTGTATATATTTATTTTTATTGATGTTTTAAAAATGATCTATTTGTGATATAGGTTGTAGTTTTAGTAGTATATAATAATAAACCAGTATTTGAAAAAATTACAAGTACCTATTTGAATTTTGTTATATTGATCAAGTGGACGGTGAAAGTTATCACACATCATTGCAGGCAAGCTCACATTATCTAGTTTAAACCAACTAAAACACAAAATTACACTGTGTTTCACATGATTTGCTGTAATATTGCGTACATAAACGTTATAGCTTATGTAAGACAGTTGCTTTTCGCAGGAAATCTGACCAGTCCTTCACATAGAGAACAGTTGGCCCATACAGGCTGTTATAGGCAACTGAGAAAGTTGGTGAATGCCTAAATTTTTAGGTGGTGTTACAACCTGATGACATATAGACAATAAATATGTTATACATATACTTAAATTCCTTTTAAACCTCAAAAATGTCCCTTTTTAAAGGTGTGTGGCTGATTTAATCGGTTACAGCTCAAAGTGGCGCGGCAGTCTTAAAATATGTTGAAAAAGTCTTGAATTTTACTTCAAGATTCCTGTAAATACCCTGTACTTACGATACTGGCACCACATTTTAATTTTTAGCTTACAGATTCACAAGAATTCTGCTTTCACAACAATAAGACTAAATTACTCTCACTGGTCTTTTTAAGGTCTGTGGTGTCATTAACAGAAACTAGACTATATGGTTTTACTGTGGTGTTTGAAGGATTTGTACATAAGGGGCTATTGGATTTCTGATTCATTAGAAACCTTTATTTCAGAGAGAAATAAACAGCAACATTCAATACCTTCAAACAATAAAAAATACTGTCATGCACTAGAAAATATGAGCTGTTGTACAGTTTCTATACTGTCTCATGTTGTTTGATGAGAACTGAAAAAAGTAGAAACTCTCAGTTAATGTCAAAATTCCTCATTTGGGAAATGCAAGCAATTCAAGCATTTGAGGTCACTGCAACAAACATAAATTGAATGTCAAGATTGTTCCTGTTGTGCTTTGTTATTTTATTGCTTTGCAATAATATGTCTTTCCAAGCAGTTCTCATCCCAGGGCTACACATATGGACGCTTTGTCAAGACCTCTTGGCGTTCCTTTTTACCCTTTAGTGTCGTTTTTGTACATATAGGGCTTATCAAGAATAAATAAGTGGTTCACAAGGTGAAAAGGCAGAAATGTTGCAGTTAGGTTTAGGCACCAAAAGTACTTGGTTAGGTTTAGGAAAATATCATGGTTTGGCTTAAATAACTACATTACTTGTGTGACTTAAATTGCGTAAGTTAGGTAAAGCTAGTTACGTAACATCACTATAAGAAGTCAGTGTTGACCATATGTTTTGAACAGGAAACAAACACTGGTCTCCTTGGTGAAAGCCATTCACCCTATTCGCCATTCACCTCTCTAGGAATGAGAACGGGCTGGTCTTTTTATTCACTAGCTCACACCTCCTCTGTAAGTGTGCTTGTCTCGAAGTTACAACAACCTCTTAAACCCCAGATGTTAGTCAATACAAACTAATACTTTTCAGCCAAACATTGTTCAAATTCACACTATTATTTTAAATTCTAGTGGAGATTCTAAACGTACCATATTTAATTTTGGAGAACTATGTATACGATTATATCCTAGACATCTGAAATATTTCCATTTGATGGGGTTCTGGGTTGGAATAGTTGACTCAGTGTAAACATTACACAGCTTCAATGAACAGTTGGAGCAAGCTAACAGAATAGATATGATGCTGTCAGATCTTAAAGTTACTTAATGGAGAATCAAGGGGTAACACTGGATGTAGAAATTTAAGGTATAATTTTACATAAGCATAGAATTGATAATTAGACAATTGCTTCCATAGAATGAAGTGTATCTCTCTTGTATAATAAATTATTCCTCCTACACTTTGTTATTAGCTTCTGACGTGGCCAACTTTGATGGCAGCAGCAACCTGGTCTACAGGCTGAGTGTGAGGCCGAGCTGGGCAGCGATGGAGGTCATCTCTCTGAAGTTTAAAACCCTGACGAATTCTGGGACACTGCTCCATGCGGAGGGACAGAGAGATCACAGCCTCACTCTGGTGTTGGAGAAAGGAAGGCTGCTGCTTTACCATCAACAAGGTACAACATTATTCTTCCAATATTTTTTCACAGCAAGAAGGTCATGGGTTCAAATCCCGGTTGCCCCGGCCTTTCTGTGTACAGTTTGCATGTTCTCCCCGTGGTGGCATGGGTTCTCTCCGGGTGCTCCGGCTTCTTCCCACCATCCAAAGACATGCAGCCTAGGTTAATTCGTGTCTCTAAAATTGTCCTTAGGTGTGGATGTGAGTGTGAGTGGTTATATGTGTTCTATACAGTATTTAATAGAAGTAAAGGTAGGCAGGTTCTTACTTTAAGCCTCAAGTCCTGCTGGTTTTCATTGTTGAATTGCTATTCATGGACTACTATAGACATGGCACACCAATTGAGTGCAGTTACATTTTGGACAAAAAACAGCAGTAGCCGGCTTCCTGAGGACAAGGATTGAAAGCCTGTGATGTAGGATGGCTGAAACTTTGGATTATGGATTACTATGGATTTTTGAATTGTTTTGGATGACTTTTCCGGCAAAGTTTGTAGTTGTATCTGTCTGTTCGTTCATTGTTCATTGCTCTGAGTAAATGTCAGCTAAATGCCTAAACTGTACAGTGTAATTATGGACTCAGTCAGGCTCCAGGGGATCCGCCATCCAGTCTCTATATAAGGAATTTAATATCTAGCACATTTTTCTCCTCACAATAAAATGGATGGAGCTTTAAGTCAGTCTCCGTCCATCTGCTGGTTTGTTTGCGTGATTGTCAGATGTGATTTCTAAGATACCACTGATCCAATTTTGATGAAACTCAGGGGAATTATGTTTCTTTCTGCTTATGCTGATTATTTCAATCCAGTATTTGTTTATCCATATGTCTTCCAGCAATTTCTCAGACAAAACTCAGATTTTGAAGAAACTTTGGGAATTAGTGTAGTTTACCATTGCAGGCATGCAGTTACAGGTTAATACTAGAAAAGCATGGATGTTGTTTATTGACTCTGAAGGCGGACAGCAATATTTGTTGGTGAAAACATGTTTACTCCTACCTTAGTTTTTTCTTTTTCTCCAAGTTTTTCCAAGACTTTTTACTCAGTTTCCCTCAATCAACTGTTTCTCTCTGTTTTTCGCTCTGTTTTGCTCTCAGCTTGACATCCTCTCTCATATTCTCTTTCTTTTAATCTATGATGGATGCTAGCAACATGTGTTAAGGATGAACTCTGTGGAGCACAGTGGGCTAGCACAGAATGGAGTACTGTGGAGACTATGGGAGGGAATATGTGTGTTGGTGTAAACGAGGTTAAACCTGAGGTGGTGTTGGACTGCCAGGCCGTCGTATTATCACCATATGGCAGACCTCTCATCAACCATGCCATCTGGCTGCTTGAGTACACTGCCACTCTGCTCACCAACCGTTCCTTCATTTCCCAAGAAAAACAGGATTTCTTGCCCTAAATTAAGTTTGATGTTAACACAGGGCTTAATTAAAGAATAGTTCTGACTTAAAACTATATGTTTCATGACCGTTTGTGCACTGAAACCTTCTTCCTCTCCATACTGGCCCTCAAGTGTTTTGCCCACCTGATTTTGTTGATTTGGTCATATTTCGTTGATCTTTGTGCTTCTACCATGGGTAGGTAGGGTACATTGTACCAGCCTGGTTTAATCTTCTCTGTATAGCTTGACAAGGGTTCCGTCAAAAATAGACCAGCCGCGTATTCTCAGTGGAGTGGAGAGCCAGTTCTGGGCTGGTTCTGAAAAGTGCAGTGGCACATCTGCTGGAATCACAAGTATTACCTAGGCCACATCGCAGCATCAAGGATTATTCCCACTTTATAGATTGCAGGAATGTTATTGCCCTTGTGTTAGTACAATATCAAAGTGTCATGTTTTCCTCATAAAACAAATAATACTTTCATATAGTTATTTATATGGTTAAACATATATATTGTTTAAAGTTGTATTTCATAGTTATCGGCTAAAGGCAAAGCAGGAGGTCTCTCAAAGAAAATCTCGCCTCCCGCTGTCTAGGGCCATACCTTACAGATGCACACACATGCTAAAAATCCTGGGTGTTTTTACTTGGAAATGGAGGATATTTTGGAAATAATCTAAATTTGCTGTGTTCAGACATAGTTTATACTTCTCTTTCTGCTTTCCTCCATCCTCCACAATTGTCTTAACCTCCCTCTGTCACTTCCTCTCTACATTCCTACAATGAAAATGTAGGAATGTAAATCTGTCAGTGGTAGAGAGGTGTTATCTGCAAAAGCCATCAGTCTGACATCAGCTCCCTGAGTGACGCCTGTCACATCTCCCTGCTTAGCCCAAGCTGATAGTCAACAAACTCCTTAAAGAAGTCTGGGTAGCTGGGAACGAAAATAAACACTGCTCGTTTTTGTAAGGGAACAGAGATTAGATTGAGCTATGATAAGCCAATACTGAGGAAAAAAAACATCCTCCGCCTCAATCACAGTGCTGTCACTGCAAGCTTCTTTCTCTAGCTCTCTTTGTTTTCCTGCCTGCCTGGCTGCCCCTTACTGCCTTTTCTATTTTCCTCTTCTCTCCATTGTTATTTATCACAGCCTTTCTCATATGTCACCACAATTCTGCCCCTGCTACATTTTTTTTCAGAGGAGATTATTTGCCTTTTTCAATTGCATGCTCTTTGTCTTTCTCAGTCCTCTGTCTTTCTTTCACACATCCCCTCCCTCCCTCACACTCTCCCAGGAGTTTGCAGTCGGCAGACAGTGTAATTTAGATCAATAGCTTAGAGCATCCACCCTGAGCCACAGCATGCTCCTCCACAGTCGGCTGATGGCTCAAGAGAAGAGAGGAGAAGAGAAGCTCAAAATAGGGGAGCATAATAAAACCTGAAGATTTAGATGCATTATCTTCATAGTTCCAGAGTGTGTGCTATTCCCTGAGGCTCTTCATAGTTATCTCCCCCATTTGGCAACCTGATCCTGTCTGTCCCGGGCCTCTCTTTAACAGGAATACATGTCACACCATGAGGAAAACAAGCTGACACAGAAGAACTAAAGATGACTAATGATGGCTAACACTAGGCATCAGGGATTTGTGTAGCTTACACACAAACATAAAGAGCTTCGCCAGCGCAGATGTGTTTTTGTAAGAAACAATATTCATTAGCATAAATTAATGATGAATTAAAACAGAAAGACATACAGACAGACCAATAGGCCGTTTGCAAGCAGATAGACTGGCAAACAAACAGATAAATACAACAGTGAGACACAGTTTCTATCTCCCTGTGGCTGTCCAAGCATTTGGAATAAATTGGCTGGCTCATTAGGATTTATGTCCGCTATCCAAAACCATCTCAATTCCTTTCTACTTTACATTTATCAAAATGTCAGTTTGCTATAATGTAGCCCACTGCTTCATAATTCAGTTCACTTCTGAACTGTCACAGGGAAGCTGTAATACACAGCAGTAAACACACTAAGGGCTAGTGTGTCCTGCTCCAGTGAATTCTGGATGAATGGTGTTAAGTATTGCTGACTAAATTAGGATGGCATCAGAGAGGCGTGCAGGACAAGCTGCATGTTAAGTGAAATTCTGTCTTTTCTCTGCATCCTCAATAATAAGGACATGCTGTGGTTGGTTTGTGATTGCTGGCTGTGCTATATTTATATTTCAGATTTTACGGTAACAAAAATCAGCATGATCACAAAGGTTTTCACCAATCACAGAGCAGCAAAAGCTACAACCAGATCTTCCCCAAGGCATCTGCAGAGCACTGTTGAAAAGGAATGAATCTCTCTGGACAAAGTGTGCCAGTTGGCAGAGAAATAGAAGACGATGAATTATGATGATTACTGTTGCATTTACTTACTCTATTCCATTTTGTTCTACAATGATTTACAGTGAACCTCTAAGAGATTCTGTTGTAAACAGACTCATAAGAGTTTCAGTCAGGAGCCTATATATTTTCAGAGGAGGATGAAACTGCTAAGGTAGCCATGGGACACTTACTGTAACACACCCATGCGGTATAATTAGTTGCTTGCTGCTGATTCCCTCAGTGTGCAGCAACAGAATTCTCAAAATATAGAACAAATGCCAGAGATATTTAGTTCACACATCACATTCGAAAAGCTGGAAACAGAAAATCTTTGGCATCTTGCCTGAAAAATGACTTAAACACTTAGAATTAACTAATAATTTCTACCTTCCATCGACTTCCATTTTTTTTCCTGATCTTGATAAGTTTTATTAATGTGATAACATTTTATGTGAAGTAATTATTTCAGTCCAAAAGTTATTTTTTATGTATTATGAACATGCTTTGGCGACATTTTTGTGGACAAACGGTCCCAATGAATTGATTTGAAGAGACCGAGAGAGACTTGACACAGCGGTGACATTCTTGCCATGAATATGACCGGACTGTTTCCTTTTTTTTCTAGTTTGTTTTATGATAATAAACTCAATTCCCAACTGTGACTAAAGCTGAGAATTGGTTTAGAGAAAGTACATTATTTTTACAGCCAAGCTGTATTTCAAATAGTAGCACCACGTGATGCTGAAATACTGAAACAATTATAACAGTCTGTCTCCTGATAAGACCTGTCATTGTCGTCCTTCATAAACAGATTTAGAGCTTGAGCAAAGAGCCATAATGGAATAGCAGACAGGATATGATAAGGTGATATTGCCCCAGGGAGCTGTCTGGAACGACTCCTGGAAAGTGGAAACTAGTGTTCAGCGCAGACTCCTCAGCTTAAAGACAAGAACATTCAATATTAGTCCACTCAGTATGGATAAATCAAGCAGTTATTGCCTCACAATGTCCTCATGGTATGCAGGCAAGGAGGGGGGAATGAAGAAAATTAAGACTGACAGAGTAAGAAAGGAAGAGGGAGTTTCATAAATGAAAGTTAAGTGTTTTTGTAATTGTTTGCCCTCAGATTTATGGTATTGATTGCTCCCTCTCTATTACCAATTATTTAAGCTGTAACCAAATATGTCACCTCATTTAATGACCTAATCATGAAAGGTACATTGGAATAGTTAGACATTTTGGGAGATGCTGCAGTCAACTCTCATGTCTGTATGTTAAGTATGGAGCTGGAGCAAGGAGGTGATTAGCTTAGCTTAACATAAAGGCTAGAAGCAGGTGGAAAACTGGTGGCATGGCTCCATCTAAAGTTCACAAATATGCACACTGTAAAACATTTTAGCGGTTAAGTCTGTTAAGTCCCTTGAATCAAATTAGTTTTCTGTGAAATTGGGCTATAAATTTACCTGATTTGACTGGCTGGTTCGACTTAAAAACATAAGTGTCCTTGCTGCCTTCAAAATGTGAGTTAACTGAACTAAACTTGTAAAACTAACTGAATTAAGTTCAATAACTTATATATTTTTCTTTTCAATTAATGATAAAAGATTCACTAAATTCATGTATGATGTTTTACAGCATACCAACACCTCTAAAGCTCGCAAATGAACATGCTTCTTGGTGAACATCAGCTCCTTTGAAAACCACAAATAGTTGTTTCACATTTCTAAATAAACAAATGAGATTTAAAATCTTAATTAGCAAGCTCTAGAGGTGTTGGTAGGTGTATTTTCAAACTTTGGAGAGAGCCAGGCTAGCTATTTCCTCCTCCTTCCTGTCTCTATGCCAAGCTAAGCAAATTACTTCCTGCTGCTCCATACTTTCAGTAAAGCCCCCGAAATCTCTGTAATATTTCACTACAACATAAAATATTCATGATTATACAATCAGGTTTGAAAAAAAAAGAAAAAGACATAGTTAGGTCTAATTTATTAAAAGTGTTACACTCAACAACTAGGGTGGACTGAGTGGTTGTGGTTCGATCAGATTTGATTGACAGTCCTGGCATCATAAGCAATCAACCCCGTAATCAAAATTTGATTCAAAATCTATCCTTCATTATTAATGACTTGGTGTATCTCGGTCCTTCTGTTGTAGCTCCTTTTGTCAGCAGAAACATTTTTCTCTCCCAACACATTAGGGGATGCAGAGGTGGATCCACCAATTTGGACCTGCTGGTGTTTGGTCTGTCATTAATTATGTCCTGCTGTCATTTTGTAGCATCATCATTTATTGTGGTGGGTCCTCATACCAGCCAGCATACAGATTTGTGCGCTCTAATGAGAGAGGGTGACCTCAGTGACCTGCTCACTGTTTGAAATAAAGATGAAAACATTCCACTGAAGCTGCAACGTTTGTTTTGATAAATCAAACAAGAACCTTTCTTTACGTTTTCTTACTGCCAGAAGTAAGAGCCATTTTAAAATTATTTTTTCAAGCATGTTTGTCCTTGTTAAAAATGCACCTTGGAGGAGGACACACAGAATGCTGACCTTGAATTGTTTTTCAGGTGCACACCTCAGAAAAGAAATCAAAGTTCCTCAGCAGGAAGTCCGCAAAAGAGGATTTCTGCATTAACTGAAGTCATTGAGTAGCAATGAAATGCCCCATCATTGATTGTTTTTCACATCCTCACCTCTTGCAGGTGTGAGTTCATCCTCTAGCGGTCAGCTTCTTGTTTCTCTGGGAAGTCTGCTTGATGATCAGCACTGGCACCATGTAAAGCTGGAGCGGCTCAGCACTCACCTCAATCTCACCGTGGATAAAAACACTCACCAGGTTCACATACCGGCTGAGCTCAGCCACTGGGACATTCACCAGGTCAGAGGAAATGGACAGAATTTAGGGCACAACAAAATAACACACATAAAGTTGTACTTTAAAATGTGTTGTTTGTGTATGTAGACATAAAAAGGTGGCTGGAGAACGTTTGTAGTCTTATCCTTTATAGTATATTGTATGGGAGCTATAATCACCTTACATTCATGTTAGTTACTTTGGATCTCAAAATGTCAAAATGTTTCATACTAACTATATATAAATATAAGTGTCATCATAATTCACTTCTCCAGCCAACTTGTTTACTGGGCTAAAAGTTTGTTTTTGTAGTTTACTGATTGGCTCATCACCATTTCATTTATTGAGTAATTTTCTCCTTAAATAAACCAAACAAGACTCAGCGACAGCCAGTTCTCTATAAAGGAGAAGAAACAAACCTAGCCTACAAACAAACTTGACAGGGTTGTGCATTTAGCCGTATTCTAGTAGTAGAAGTCTGAGTATCTGTGAATGAAAAATGTACAAACTTTTTACAGTAGCCTCTGAAGCCTACAAGGGTGCTTACACATTTGTTTTTACATGTTTCACAAGTGTTGATTTCTTGTGCAGCTAAGTCTGGGAGCAGCCCAGAGCCATGGACTGCAGAAACCCATTCTGTCCAACAGGAACTTCCATGGCTGCCTGGAAAACCTACTGTACAACGACCTCAACCTGATAGACCTGGCTAAAAAGAAGAACCACCAGGTCTCTGTAGTGGTAAGTTATTCTGTTTCAGCATCTTTGGAACGTCATTATGGAAATCTACCATTCAGCATTTATCAGAAGGACAAATAGATGACTGTGGAGAAATGTTAATTTAGAGGGGGGGAGGTACAGAGTTGAGATGTCGTAAGGGTTAAATCAGGTGGCCATGGGCTTCAGAAGTCAAAGTCCTGTTTATTTTCCAGTAGACCAGTGATTCCAAATTTTTTAGGCTTGTCACCCTTTGTAGCAAAACAGTGCCTGAACAGTTCAACTAGTGTTTTCGCTTTAGATTGTTTATTTTGTTTATTATTTTATTATTTATTTAAGTTTAGTAATGAAAAGATTTATTTAAGTTTAGTAATGAAAAGATGAAATTCTCCAGTATTTTGAAAGTAAATGTTTGAGAAATGTGAGGAAGAGTGAACTTGGTTTTGAGTGTCTGTGACCCCTTGGAATGGGGTACAAGGGCCACGAACGTTTTTAAGGAACAAAACATCTGTTTAGCACTCTAGAAATTCATGGAGGGATGGGTTAAGTTACAGTTACTGCTTGGTGAAACTCTATACATTCAGCAGCTAAATTCAATTCAAATTTGGAGCTCTGAAACAATTTGAAATAATTAAGTAACCATGGCACTTTATGTTTTAAATTTTTTTCTGTGAAGATTATCTAGGGAAATCAAGGAGGTTAAATCAAGGCCAACTGGATTTGGTTTAAGATACTGGAAGACATTTTGCATCTCATGCAAGAGGCTTCTTTAGCTCTAATTGACAGGCAGACCAGCTATTTAACCTCTGTGGGGTCGTTATCAAGGTGATGGATACAACTTGGTTTGTTAGTGCTCCTGGCTGTTGAAACAACTGTCATTATGGACATAGAGTCACCTGAGGTCAAGTCTGAATGACTGTCGACACCATCACGTGAGAGTTCATCCTGGGAAGGGATGAAAGGACTGATAAGGATTGTTGTAGAGTTGTAGTCAAGACCGCCCAAACTGAGACCAAGTCGAGACCAAGACCGAGGGAGGGTGAGACCAAGTCAAGACCAAGACCAGTTCCCCACATACATGAATAAAATGTGGAACGAGATCATATGTAGGTACTACTCAAATTGATCTGAAAGATCCACATTCCCGTTAAAACACGCACATACAAACACTAAGAGCTGAAATCAACTTAACCATCTTTCAACACTCCTTTTCATGCTTCCCATCGCAGAGAGGGGTGACAGTCGTTAACGGTAACAACACATTTTTAATTAGGGTTATTGGCTGCATTTAAAGCAATACGTTTTACATCCAATCAAAGTTGAGATGTTAACAAATAAATCAGACAGTGCACAAGTAATTTATTGATATTTCCAAAGTTATGGTCTTGACTGGTCTTGAAATAAAATCCAGAGTCCTCAATGTCCGAGACCGAGACAAGACTGAGTACTAATGCTGTCGAGTCCGAGACGAGACCAAGACCATCAAAAAGTGGTCTTAAGACCGGTCTCAAGACCAAGACCGTTCTCGAGTACTACAACACTACATTGTTGACCTGAAAAGAGCGTCCCTTGACCTGAGGAGTTGGCCCGTCTGTGTTGAGCCATGTTTATGCAGTGGTTGTTTAGTTCTTCCTGGATCTTGTGGCTGTTTTCACAATAGTCCAGTTTGGATATCCACAAGCTTTAAGCTTCAAGCTTCAAGCTTTATCCTTCAGGTGTTTATGCTCCTTGTCTTGGGCTTGGGCACTTGGTTGGTATATTTTCAGATTGGTGGTTCAGGGTCCTGATAACCCCTAGCTGATGCTCCAGTGGATGGTGAGAGTCAAGAGCAAGTGTTGGTCTGTGTGTGTGGGTTCTTTAATGTGGACGGCAAAGTCCATGAAAGCCAAACTGTTGTTGCTGACATCCTTTCATAGTAACCTCATGTTACTGTCCACCAAGATGATTTGTGGGGGTGGTGATGGAGCAGTGGATAAGACACATGCCTTTGGTGTGAGAGACCCGGGTTTAACTCCCACTGTGACACATCCACGAATGTGTTCCTGAGCAAGACACGAAAGCCCTAGTTGCTTCAGAGGCATGCAACCTGATATATAGCACTTGAAAGTCGCTATGGATAAAAGTGTCAGCTAAATGAATTAATGAAATGTAATGTCATTTGTTCTGTAAAGGCCTGCCATGGGTTTTAAATTTTGACCCATGTGTTGTCTAGGGATGCAGCGATTACCGGATTTCACTATTAACCCCACTTTAAAACGTCACGGTTAATTAATCGTAAAGGCGCTGCTACACCGAGTATTTCTGTTGCACAAAACGAAACTGTGGCAACTTGCACATAACGAAAACAAAGTTAGACGAGCAGTGCACCAGCTTAAAGTGTCATGCTTATCAGAGGCTACTGCACACTCGCTAAACTCTGGCAGAGGGACCAAATTGTGAAGCTTTATTTCCACCAAAGAAACGGCTAAAGTCGGCAGTGTGGGAGAATTTTGGGTACACCAAGTCTGAACAGGGCGTTACTGAAGATGACGGATCACCTGTTCAAAAACTTGCCGTTAAACGTTTGCTGCTAAAGGAGCAAATGAATACCTAAATTAAACTTGACGCAGCACCTGCGGGATCACCACCCAGCGTTGCACGCCAAAGTAAAGGTAGGCCTAATACATATATTAAATAATGTGGCAAGTTGGTAGGGAATTAAATATAAAATTATTGTATAGTGAGTTTTATGTGGCATTTGCTTGTCTGTTTTATGTTATGTCTTTTTATGTGGTGACATTGCACTTTGAGCTTCTTGCATATTCTTTTCCAATGTGGTTTTATACTGCAAATGGCTAATAAAGTTAATCTGAATAAACGTGTCACTTACAATCGATGCCGTAGCGGTAAACAAACAAAGCAGCATGTAACCTTTCAGACTCACCTCAACGACAGCACCGCTGCGCTGAGGCCCATTATTTTCAATGTTTTGTCCCGCGCCAGGGTGGTTTGTTGCTGCGCCAAGCAACATGCACCGCACGGAGAGCTCGCGCACACGCCATGGTCAAAGTAGTTGAACTTTAGCGGCAAGTAGCTTCCACGTAGTGCAAATCGCTTCTTTTCTCAAAGGGCCTTTATGGAAGACAGAACATAGTCCTCTCAAGACCTTCAGTCACTTAACATTTATCGTTACATCCTGTTTCCTCCTTCTGTCTGTGTTGAGAAAATGTTGCCAAGTGTAAAACACTAACATAACATCAGGAGCTTATAGACTTTCAGGACTATAGGCTACCAATTAACTGCATTTCAGTTAACACTACACTCATTTTCACTAATACTTATATGTATGGATGAGCGTTGATAACAGTAACAGTTCAGTTTATTCCCTCCTTAATAACAATTTCCCCTGGGGGATAAAAGTTAATATTCCACTTATATTAATAATACTTACATAGTATAGAAATATAATTGTTAATGTAATTAATTATTAAAAACCGTACCAACAAAATCTGTAATCGTTGGATCCCTAGTGTCATCCACATACCAGTAACTTAGTGCTGTCCCTCTGAAAGAGTTCAGGGCTCTGCTTTCTGCTTTCTACTTCTTCTGTGTGGATGTTGACCATCAAGATTTGTCTCTGAGGGTAAGTGCTAAAAGATGAAACTGACTAGAAAACAAGTGACATCGCAGAAGTTTCTTATTCTATTTGCATGATATTTATATATTCAAGTTATATATTTTTTATTATGAATTTTCATTATTACAGTTTGGTCATGTATCACTGCATACTATGATGTCACTAAACTGTGTACTGTGTGTCTCCTGTATATTGACTGGTTTATATAGTGGTACTGTTTAAGGTGAGATAACATACATTCAGTACATTGTGTTGTTTACAAGAATTTGGTATATCTACCATTATACTGCTGTTGCATCTATAGTGAACCATTTATTGAGCAATTTGTAAAAATGTAACATTCAAATTAGTTTCTCAGTTCATATTCTTTTTTGGCATTATAATCAAATGCTTTTTATAATGATAAACTTTCAGACTCTTTGTGCTCATCACTGTCAACAGCCACTGTCATTATTATTTTCATTATCATTATTTCACCATCTGCATCATCATCCTCTTTATTTTTAAACCCGCCATCATCATCATTGCCATTAGCATTGTCGTAATCTCCTTCATTATCATCACCAATGTCATCACTTGCAAATTTTGGAGTTACAAAGCCCAAAGCAAGAAACTAGAGAAGAAAAGCAGAGAATTGAGGAAAGGATGTAGAAAATGAGAATGAGGAGAAGTGAAGATATAAAGAGACAGGGAGGAGGGAAAGAGAGAAACTGGCACTGATCCATATTTGTAATCATAGAAAAGTTTATTTAATATGAATTTTATGCTTGCGTGATGATGGTAATCAATGTACAATTTGTGCCTCACATTGTGCTGAGAGACTTCCCTGAATACATTCTAAAAGAACACTAACCATATATCTTTATACATTCAGATTTTTGTGATGCATTATGGAAATGTGGATTTAAATCATGCTATTGCCTTTGAACTTTGGATCGAATTGCAACATTTCTGAAGGCCATTGTTCAAGTCTGAAATCAGTTTATCCATTGTATCATATCTATTTACCGATGCCATGCTGTGGAGAGATGTGAGACAAATAGCGAAAGTGAGTTCAAACGCTGTGTGACCCTGAAACGTCAGGTCTTCTAGCTTATTTTAGCTGCTCAGCTAATATCAATATGGTAATACAGGTGTCCTTTTCAGGGAGGTGCTGAGGAGACCCCTGTGACATCGAGTCAAACACAGTCAACCTCTGCAGATGATGAATATTCATGTTTTATTATCTCTTTCATAATCATTTCTCTATCTTCCTTCCTCCTGTCTTTCTCAGGGCAATGTGACCTTTTTCTTGTGCTGAACCAGTTTCAGTCGCTGTGACGTTCATTGACTCCCAGAGCTTCCTACAGTTGCCAGGACTAACATCGTGGTCGTTAGGGGTTGTCTCTGTAGCTCTGCAGTTCCGGACATGGAACAAGGCAGGGCTTCTCTTGACCTTTGACCTCCCGGAGCAGGAGGGCACAGTCTGGCTGTACCTAAGTGAGGCCAGACTCCGCCTGCAGATCAATAAAGCTGACAGGGCCCAGCTGGAGCTCAGTGCAGGTCGGTCCAATTAAGATTTTGCTGAGTTACACCTTTGTAATTTTACAAAGAGGCATGAATCTGTTGACCCTGTTATTCAGTTGTCTCACAGAGATGTCATAACATCTTGTCATAGCTCAGATTTATGCCACTGACATAAAACAGTAGCACATTTTTTTTATTCACAAAAAACACAACAAAACAAACAAAAGCCCAGTGTCAGATTTGCACAAGGCCATTATTTTACCATGGAGAAAGTGTCTGTGCTGAGATCTACCAGTCACAATTAATACTGCAATCATTTACATTCAGATGTAATCTGTACAATCCTAGCTTCATTCTGACCTTTACCTTGTGTAATCTGTTTGCTCATATGAGACATTTCTGAAATGAAAGTCAAAAATCCATAGTGTGAAAGTAGTTGATCAACTTGGAAACAGTTGTCTCAAGGTCTCAAGCTTTCTGTGTCTATGACAGTGTTGGGGTAGCTACTACTCAAAAATGTGATGGATTACACATTACCAGTTACATTTTTTTAAAAGTTTAATGCCTTTACTAGATTACTCACTGATGAAAGTAACTAGTTACCCTACTAGTTACATTACTTTTGTATTACTGCATAACATCACCTGCGATGCGCATTAACTACCAAATACAAGTTATACCTCATATATTCCCAGATCAACACAAATCCTTATTTTAATGAGAATGATCTCTCTTTTATGCTCTTTAATACTACAAAGCTGACAACAAAGTTATGAACATCAGTTATGGCCGATGAATTGAAAGGATTTGAGGACCTCACAGGCTGACGTTGTGTAAAGTTTTCTTCCTTTCCAAGTATCACAACGATGTTCCTTTGCGTTCAGCTGCCAATTACACACCTGCGCAGTGTGTA